GTATAATTGATAGAACCATCCTCAGAGGAGAGGTTGTTAGTCAACAAACACTTAATAATCACGTTCCATGTGCCAGGCCCTGTGTTAAGCACTGGGGATACAAAGAAAGGCAAAAGCAGGCAGTGTTCTCAAGGAGCTCAGAGTCTAATGGGAGGAAGAAATTACAAACAGCTACATACATACTAAATATACACAGGGTAAAATTATAGTAACCTCAATGCACTAGCATTGAGGAACAGGAAAGGCTTCTTACAGAAGGTGAGATTTGACCCGAGTCTCAGAGGAAACTAGAAGGTAGTGATGAAGGGAAGCATTCCAGATGTGGGGGACAGCTGCTGCAAAGGTGCAGAGGCAGGAGGTGTAGGGTTGTATCCAAGGAGCAGCAAAAAGGCTAGTGTTACTGGGTTATAGAGCATGTGGAGCAGATTGAAGTGTGAGAAAAGGGAAATTAGGAAAGAAAGGCAGGAAGCGTCCAGGGTGTGAAGGGTTTCAAAAGACATGGAGGATTTTATATTTGATTCTAAAGGTGATAGGGAGCCACTGGAGTTTATTGAGTAGGGGAGTGACATGTTTAGACCTGTGCTTTACAAGGATCAGTTTGATAGTTGAGTGAAAGATGGACAGGAGCAGGGAGACCAACCAAAAGGCAATTGAAATGGTCCAGCCATGAGGTGATGAGGGTTTGCACCAGGTGTGCAAGAGGAGAGAAGAGGGCATATACAGGAGATGTTTTAAAGGTAGAAAGAACAGGCCTGTGAAACAAATTAAGTATGTAGGTTGAGTAAGAGTGAGGCATCAAGGAAGAAACAGGTGTTGAGTATGATAGGGAGGATGGTGGGAAATTTTGAAGGGAGAAAGTTTGAAGAGAAATATAATCAATTATGTTTTGGATATTTTAATTTAAGATATCTCTGGGACATCCAGTTTGATATTTTTGATGGGCAGTTGGAAATTTAAGCCTCAAACTCAGGAAAGAAGGGTTGTGATTGAAAATAAGGGAGACTGAGGAACAAAGCTCCAAGCACGATAATTTTATTTGTAAGGCTAACAATTACCAATAAACAGGGTGTTTCAGCTCCTCAGCAAGCTAAACCACTCTGAGGACTAACAGATCATTTTTATAGACAAAAGGAGCCCTCCCCCCCTCAAATTACAAGGTGCATTATAGATGGCAGAAACAATATGATTGGTTACAAAGTCAGAAAACATCATAGGCTTGGAAAACAATATGATTGAGTGGATATAAAGATTTCCCTCCTTGCATCTTATTGCTAGGAAATTACTGATTTATTGAACCCACCTACACCCTATGAGAATAACTAATGGTAGACACATGACAGATTTCCTCTAATTGTGTAAGGACAACTAGTGGTAGAGAAATAACGAATTTCCTCTAATTGATCAAGGACAGCTGGTCATAATAGGTTTTTCCAATTAAAGATGACTTGTAGGACAGCTGAACTTTTAAACTTAACTCAGAAAGGCAAGCTGGTCATTATAGGAAAGCTGAGTTTTTAAACTTCTGAACTTCCAAACTTAACTTAGAGACAAAGGAATGTGATGTTAGTTAGTTATGCAATATGGTGGTGGTGATACAGAATAGAATCAATTACAAAATGGAATCAGAATAAATTTGATTTTCTCAGAGGTTAGGCCTGAGTAAATAGTTCTGAAAGTAATTTGCATAGAGATGATAATTGAATCCAGGGGAACTGATGAAATTACCGAGTGAGATAGTATAGAGGGAGATGAGAAGAGGTCCTAGGACAGACTTTTCGTGGACATCATGGTGAGTGGATATGACCCAGATGAAGATCCAGCCAAGGAGACTGAGAAGGAGTAATTAAGACAGGCATGAGGATGTCCAGGAGAGAGCAGTGTCTACTCTACTGTGACTAGAACATCTCTTTCACGAAGAGCCCAGAGGCAGTGGTGGTGAACATGTGGCCTTCTAGGTCCTTGGGTGCAGCCTTTTGACCCAGTTTTTATTAAAAGGGTTTGTTCTGTGAAGTTTGGATTCAGTGAAAGGGCCTCACTTGAGGATCTAGAGGGCTAGCCTTGGGTGCCCAGGCTATCCATGCTCACTTGTATTGGGGTCTACTCTGACTCTCAGAACTTTCCCCCCAGCAGACATCCATCTAGGGAGCAGTTATCTGCTATTTTCCCCTGTTAAAATGTAACCTTCTCGTGGGTAGAGACTTTTTTTTTGCTTGTATTTGCCTGGCATATAGTAAATGCTTAAAAATTTATTTTTAAACTTTTGCAATTATTAGTTTATTACGATCATATAGGATTAAAATTTTCAGTATTCCTCCCAAAATTATACACAACCAAATGCAAACCTGAAATAAGAATCTGAAAGTCAAAATCATATGACAAAATAATACTCCATATTTTAAAACACTGGTGCTTAAGAGAAACATTATTTCAAAACCACAAAATTGCCAAATTGTCCTCTGAAATGGTAAGCAGATAAGCATAGAAATGGTTAATTTTAATGAACACACAGCTTTGGTCTTGGAAAGGAAAAAAATATTTGATCAAATTAGACAGTTGGCCTATAAGCATTTTACCTTTTAATGCCAAATTTTAATTGTGTTTTCAGTTATATTGAAATTAATTTAACTGTATTTAATTGTATTTTCTATCAAAGACTTTTATTTGTACAGGGGCAAATATCACAAGTGTTATCTAAATCTTGATAGGAAAATGCATGTCATTTTAAATAAGACTGATTATAATTTCATTTAGAACCAACTTAAAATCTTAGTAATAATTTACAGTTATGTATAGCCATATAGAATCTTAAGTTTCTCAAGGACTATTTATTGCTGCCTGCATTTCATACTAGAGAGCTGACTGCCTCTATTAAATTTACTTTCAAAGATTAACAAAGCAGTCTTGGATTTACAGCTTTTACTTTTGGGATACTTTCTTTGTGCTTCTGAAACATGGGAATCACAAACATAACTTCCATTGTGAAGATGAGTGTATACTCCCCATATAAGTATTATAATATAAATATACCCTTCTATTGGACCTTCAAAGATAGAATTTTAGTATGTTTGCTGAATAATGATGCAATAATATACAATATAATTGTATGTTCTCCACTCTGTAAATATAGTATCTGAACATATTACTGTCCTACGTGAAATTTAAGTTTATTAACTGCTTTCAGTTTCTAGTTATGGAAAATTGTTTCCATACAAATTTTTATTATTCCATCACAAGTATGTAGGGTTGTGCAGATCAAAGCTTTTTATTGGCTAGCTATATGAAAAAACTGTAATAATTCACATGATTCCAAATGGGGATACCAAAGCAAAGCATCCCCTCACAAAAGAAAATTTATGATTTTAAGGACACCTATTAAAAGGACAACAATACTAATAAACATTGTATTTATTTAGAAGTATTCAGAATGTCAACAAAACAAACTTTTTTGTATTAAAATGTTCTATTTTGCTTTTATTTTCATTGTTATAATCATGTTTTTTTTCTTAAAAGGATTGATTTTACAAAGGAGGAAACTGAGGTACAGAGAGGTGAAGCAAGAGGGGCAGGAATTAGAATTTAGGTCTTCTGACTCCCAGTCATCTTCTCATAGTTGGCTGACAAGTCAACATTGTACCTCTGCTACAGTAGATGATTTACAACTAATTGCTTAGATCCCATTAACTTGGCGGTTTCCTACACTCTCTAAACAGTGTGTGTGATTTCTCCAAATCCAGGACTCAGGGGCAGTAAGGTGGCACAGTGGGTAGAGCACAGGCCCTGGAGTTAGGAGGACCTGAGTTCAAACTTGGCCTGAGACACTTAGTAACTGTGTGACCCTGGGCAAGTCATTTAACCCCAGTTGCCTTGCCAAAATCAAAACAAAACAAAACCAAAAAAAGGAAACCAAATCTAGAACTCAGAATTGTAAGGAAAGAGGCAGTGGGGTCTGGTGAAAGGAGGCATTTGGAGTCAGAGAACCAGGGTTCAGATCCCACCTCTCACTTTACCCATGGTATCTAATGCTCATCATCTCACTTTCTTAAACCTCAGTGTCCTCAGTCAGGGAGGTAGGTGGCTCAGTGGATAGTGCTGGGCCTGGAGTCAGGAAGCCTGAATTCAAATTGGACTCTCAATTACTAGCTGTGTAACTCTGGCCTAGTCACTTAACCTGTTTCCCTTTATCCACTGGAGAAGGAAATGGCAAACCATTCCATTATCTTTACCAAGAAAGTCCCATGCATAAGCATCCTGTGGTTTATGGTGTTACGAAGAAACGGGCACCACTGAAAACCGAACAAGTTCTACCGTGTAAAATGGGTTTTGACTGGTGAGCCAAGGTCCCTTCTGGCTCAAAGTCTAGGCCCTTCCCCACCCTCTGAGCAGTGAGAAGCCCAACGGTCTGGGGAGATATAGAATACGTTCCTTGCTCCCCTGCCCATGGTGGCGGGGCGGGAGGGGTCTGTCATGTTTCTGGATGTCAAGAGTGAGAATGGAGGTTGATGGACAGGGTGAGTTCCCTCATCAGTGTTTTCAGTATCAGAAATCAGAGAGATGGGATGGGGTGGGGTGGGGTGGGGTGGGGTGGGGAGGAGCTGAGGGAGAGCTGTTTTGTGATGTGGTGCATGCCCCGGGTACCTCGCAAGCCCTGGCTGTGCGTTTGCGGGCCAGGACTCTGGCATCCTGCAAACCCCTCCCGGCTTACAAGGGCGTTAGCTTCTCCCGGTTTGTACGCGCTCAGACCAGGCGCCGTCCCAGTCCAGTTCTGTTTTGCGGAACTAGACTTCGCTGCAACTTTTCTTAAGTGGGTGGGAGGGAGGATCTTTTCCCCAGAAAAGAAAGCAGGGAGGGGTTGGAGGCGTCCTTACTTGCTGGGCAGGGTCGAGGTATTCCATGGAAAGTGGTTTCAAGTACCAGGGGAAGGGGGGGCGGGGCGCGGATTAAGAGGTGGGGACCCGCGAGGAGAAAGCTCAAGAAGGGGGCGGGGGGGGGGGGGGGGTGTATGTGGATGTAAGGGAAGGCAAAATAAGGGTCAGGGTCAGTGTCAGAGAAGTGGTAACAGGACCGGTTGTGCCAAGGGGGTAAGTGGTTTATGAGATCATCTTATGGTTTGGATTTGAAGGGGTGGTGGTGGTGGTGGTGGGTGATATCTTGGGTTCCTTGCCTGGTTTTCTAATTAGGAGCCTAGATGTTGTGCATTTAGAAGTTTAGGTTTTCAGGACTGGATAATTTAGAATATTTTGGGCATTTTAGGACGAATTGATGGCATATGTAAATGAGGAAACTGAAGCTCAGAGAGGGAAACTGACTTGCCCAAGGTCACAAAAGTGGTCAGCTTTCTTTCTATTACACTTCATGCTATTCTGGAAGTTGAGATGGGGCAAAATTTGAATTCTGGTGACTGGTGGACAACTTTGCTAATAACAGGAAAGTGATTTACAGACCTACAAAGTGAGACACTTAGAAGGGTTAATGAATGTATGTATGGGTCACTTCTCCACAGTGATCCTGAGAGATTCCCTCTTTACTCTTTCTCTAAGGCACTCCATCCTCCCACTCTCCATCAGACAACAATGTGGATTTTGAAGTTTCTACGGGTTATTGGTTTGCGAAGGAGAGGGACAAAAAAGGGGACTTGAATTTTGTTTTCTTTCCCTTCAAATATTTTTCAATTGAGTTCCCTCCTCTTAACATGTATTAAGCATTTAAAGACATTATTGTTGAGTTTTCTAAAGCAGCTATTATGATTGGAAGTGAAATTCTTCTTTTAGTGATTCTCAAAATTTAAACAGCCAATACAAATGCATACAAAATAAAACTCACTAGGCTCATAATTCTGGTAATTGTCAGATGTAATAAAGATCTGCTACTAACAGCATCTTTGGAGGATTACCTGTTCTGTATAATCTCAGTCCTACCTCTTTTGTTATGTCATGGGGAAAAAGGATATAGATGCTTATGAAGGTGCTTTACAGACTCCAAATCAACAGAATCACAGCAATAACACCCTTGCTGCCTTCCTTTCCTCTCTAGGAAAAAAAATCCTGTCCTCTTGTTTTCAGTTTGCAGAAAGCATGTGTATTGCTTCCTTGGCTTTTGTTTATTGTATATTCCAAAAGAAAAAATCTCTGTGTTCATTCTTATTCATCTAACTGGAGCAAACAGCACAGCTAAATTATTATACCTATCATGTGTTTTGGTCCTTACCTACTCCAAGACTCTGGGATTCACAAAGCGGGCTTTCTCTGCAAGCACAGAAGAAAAGTCTGGTCAGAATATGAAGGGGGACATAGCCTGCTTGCCTTGTCTCCCTTAAGACTGTCCTTTTAAATCCATTCCTTGAAGATGGGATTGTTGAGTTTAGGGCTGTGATAACTTCTTAACTGATGTCCCTGGCTTCAGTCTTGTTTACTCCAGTCCATCCTTCCTTTACACAGTTGCTAAAGTCATCTTCCTATCGCAAAAGTCCAAAGATGTCACTCTTCTCAAAAAATATTCATTAATTTTCTTTTCTAGTATAAAATGTGAATTCCTTAGTGAGGCTTTGAGGACCATTCACAGATTGACTCTAATCTACCTTGTCAGCCTTATTTTAATAATTCTTACTTTCACTCAATTTATATTACAACCAAATGGGACTTCTGGCTTTTTGCTGATCTTGGCTTCGTGTCTTCCACCCTCCTGTATCATATCATGTCAACCCATCCCCCATATCTGAAATGCACTCTCTGCTCTCTACCTGTTGAAGTCTTTCTCTTCCTCTCGAGTTTGCTGAGATTTCATGAAACTTTCTCTAATTTCCAGTCCACTTTCTTCCCACTTTCCTAGAATACTGTTGTTTTATTTCTCTCATCTGCCACATACATACTTACTTGTGCCCATGTAATAACCTCCTTAGTTCACTATAAATTTCTTGCAAGCAGGGGGATTTTGTTGATTTTCATTCTTGTATTCTCAACACCTAGCATGGTGCCTTGCATACCATAGATAATAAATGTTGTATGACATTACACACAAATGAGACTGGTGTCAGCTTTTATGTTTGTTTGTTTGTTTTTTTAGGCAATTGGGGTTAAGTGACTTGCCCAGGGTCACACAGCTAGTACGTGTCAAGTGTTTGGTCTGAGGTCAGATGTGAACTCAGGTCCTCCTGACATCAGGGCTGGTGCTCTATCCACTGCACCACCTAGCTGTCCTGGTGTCAGCTTTTAAAAGAAGCCATTTAAATTTGAAATACATAATTCAATTACATGAAAGCTACTATGCAAAATGATGAGAGACAGGATCAAACAAAAAAGACAAGACAATCTTTGCTGTCAAGGAACTTATATTCTATCACCAATCAGAAGCATTATTAATTATGCTGATACCATTTATTGACTCACCATGTGATACCTAAATTGACCTTTTTTTTTCTCCCTTAGTTTGCTTATCTATAAGGTAGGAATGCTAGCTGGACAATTTCTGGAATGGGTTGTGGTGACTGGAATCCTCTGAGGAAGAGCTAATACTTTCACATCTCAGGGGAGACCTTCTGAAAAGGCAGTGCTGGCTCCCAGTTTCTATAGCTGTGGCTACACCAGAGCTCAAGCTTCTGGGTCTGTGGCTTGAGACAGGCAAAGGCAAGGGAACAGCATGGTTCACCTGCATGATGGGACATTCCAGATGGGGACAAATTCCAGGTATGGCAAAGATGATTGGGGGAAGGCTGGAGGAAGTAACAGTGAAGCCCTTTGCCATTGACACATAAGCTGTCTTCAACAGAGATTTCTGGGTATTTGTCAGAGAGAAAGGTCAGCCAACCATCAGTCCCAAGTCACCATCTGAATGGGCAACACTTCAAACACTGCCTCAGACAACTTGGCCTTCTACTGTGCTATTGTCTTAGACTGTCCCTCTTGGGAACTGTGAACAGAAGCTGAGAAACCCCTGTGACTTCTGTCCTCATAGCTAGCCAGGACTCTAGATTTAGGCAGTATCTTTGCCAACAAGACCTTAGATCCAGACTAAGGGATAGGTAGGGGTAATCCCAATCTTTTCTGGTCATGCTGTTCACACTGACCATTTCCCATATCCTACCCTCATCCCCAATCTTACTCTTCCACCAATTTCTATTTGGCAAGAATTCTTTGGGGCTAGTAATGACCAGGGTCTACAGGACTAAGATCACCACCAACCCAAAAAACCAAAATCCCCTGGGGGAAACACACCCACCTGTCCATTTGATGAAGCAACAGAGCTTTCACCTAAGAATCATGATTTGTTGGAAATTAGATGGAACTTCAAGACCACAGAATCTAGAAGTCTCTGGTTCTAGTCATAGAACACTAAGCCTTGAAATACACGGTCAGAACCCCAAAATACTGGCTTTGGGGATAAAGCTAGTGGGATATGAGAATATGAAAAAGCTTCTTAGAATCAAGGGTAGAGGTAAGAAAATCTTGGAATGAAATAGATGAAATTAAGACTCTTCATTAAAAAAAGATATTTTATGAGAATCTTTACTACACTGTTTGGATGAAGGGACTCTTATGTTGTTGCAATAATTATTGGTTTGATGAATCAATGGCAAATAAGTCTGTTGATTTCTGGGAAATGTCAGGGACTGCATTCCCAAGCTGGTGAATGAACCTTTGTTATAAATTTTCCCACTGGGTTATCCTACAGCTGTAGTGTCCAAATGATGCTTATTATTTAAATAGCAAAACCTCTATCATCGCCATAACTCATCCATCAATTTCACTTAATTATTCTTCTACTTCTGGCCAAGGAGAACAAAACATGATAATCCAGGCATGTGCTTGCTAGTGAAATGTGGCATGTCCTGACAATTTCAACATGTTTTTTTCCTTTAGCTGAAGTATCTTACTAGTTAAGCAATCCTTTGGGACAGCAAAAAGTTTTGTCTCAGTAAGATCATCAGTACTAGGAACTAGTAGTTTGTTGTGGCTATTGAAAAAATGGGGAGATTTTTGGTGTCACAGTTGGCACCTGTTTGAAATAGACTTTGTGTTATAACATTATCAAATTGTATGCCATTTGTAGAATGGGTTAAGCTTGATATCTGTCTTATTAAGTAAATTAAAATCTGTTTTATTAATATATGTAATTAATATTGATAGATGATATAGTAATATATAATTAGTATGAATATATGATATATTAATATAATTAATTAATATTAAATATATAAAGGCAGAATATAAAGGGTTGATAATTAACCCTCGTTTAAAAAAAATCAATATTTGTTTACTGATACCAGCATCAAAGGTAGTTTGGTAGAAGGAAATACACTGAATTTTGAATCAAAGGACTTGAGTTCAAAATTCTTGCTCAGCTACTAATTACCTGGGTGATCTTCCTTTACTTCTCCAGATTTCAGTTTTCTAATCTGTAAAGAGGGAGTTTTGGATTCAATGACTGCTAATATTCTTTCTAGCTCTAAATCCATGATCTACTATAACTAGATAGAGAAGTCTCATGGTTCTTAAAAAAAATACTCTAATTAATATCTTTGGTCTTTATAGTTGTCATTTCCTTCCACTCCCTTGTGACAGAAAATATCTGTCCCAGAAACTTGATCTGGCGATGTCTATAGTTCAGCGTATTTATCAGCAGCTGTGAGGGGGTGGTTGTCGTCATTGTCCAGTTGTGTGGCTCCTTGTCACCCCATTGAGGGTTTTCTTAATAAAGATCCTTGTGTGGCTTGCCATTTCCTTCTTCAGCTCATTTTACATTGGAGGAAACTCAGGCAAACTGGGTTAAGTGACTTCCCTAGGGTCACACAGGTAGTAAATGTCTAAGGCTGGATTTGAACTCAGGTCTTTCTGACTCCAGGCCTGGCACTCTTCTACTGTGCTACTTAGCTGCCCCACTGTAATTATGTCTCTTCCATGACCTTCATTAGTAGTTGTTTTTTTATTTTTTATTTTTTATTTTTTTAGGGGCAGCTAGGTGGCACAGTGGATAGAGCACCGGCCCTGGAGTCAGGAGGACCTGAGTTCAAATCCAGCCTCAGACATATAACACTCACTAGCCGTGTGACTATAGGCAAGTCACTTAACCCCAATTGCCTCACCAA